ACAAAACAAAACAAAAAACATGCTGATTGTATCAGTGTTCAGGCGATTAAACTTCGGAGCTTTGTAGCTGGCGGAGACAGTCAACAATGCGTCCCGGTTTCCACGAAGGATCACCGACACAGAAACACGATGCCGCAGCCGGGCAGCTGATGTTCTTTTTAAACAGACGAACCGGGCGTTTCCAGCTAGCACGCTGAAGACCCTTCCGAAGGTCGCCTTCTCCAGACAATAAGCAGCCACCAGATCCATCATCCCGCATCAAGGGCGCAGTATACCAGCCACGCATCACCTGGACAATGCCCCGTGGGTGAACGCGCGCCGTGCCGCATCAAACAGCAAGAAGCTGACCCACCACTCGTTTACCTTAGCTCCGGCGGTAGGCACGGCCAGGCCAGGCCGAGGGATGCGTCATGCGTGGCGGGACCGGCGAGCTTGAAAGGAGGTGTTGAAGCAACTCCGGCCAACCCGCGCTCTCGCGATCCACCAAAGATCAAAAACAAGAAACGGCTCCGGCGAGAGAGAAACGGCGGCGGTCGTGAAGTCGCCGGAAACGCTCTCTCGACTCTCACTCCAGGAGGACAGGTGGGTGAGGAGCGGGTTATGTAAGCGATTGTGCGAGTGCTGGCGGAACCGGCGGAACGAGGGAGGAGGACCTCCGATACGGTTCAACACCTGACGCAACCGACGCGAACGGCAAACCGTCGCTGCCGCGTCACGTACCTGGAGTGCATCGTGCCATGGACCCTACCGCAGCTCTTCTCACCACAGAGACCATCCAGAAGACGGTGAGTCGCTCATTCCTGGTGTGGTTTGAGTTACACCGCCTGTTCCATAGTTTGAATGCTGCATGTCTGCGACATGGAAATACGGCTGCAGCGACGCACGGGATTCAACTGTCTCGTTGAGGTGTCCCGATCTCGAAGTCCTGGTGCATGTTGTTACGAGGTTTGGGGATTGTATACCCAACGGCGTAGACTTTCCATTTTCCCCGGGGGGGGGGGGGGGGGGGGGGGGGGGGGGGGGTGTAGGGGTAGGGGAGGGAGGTGTGCGGTGTGCTGCGCGTCACTTTTTTGCCAGAACTGGAGATTGAAGCTAAATGAAGGCACACTGGTATTCCATTTCCCATGTATTTTGTCAATGAAGGAAACGTGGGCGTTACTTTGTTTGCATGCCACTACTAAGAGCTCGTTACATGGCACGTAAACGGCGTCTCGGTAAGGATCATGGCCCGGGCCCGTGGGGGGCACGAGCCTTGATACCCTTCCGAAGTCTACGCCTATGTGTACATCCACTGCGTTCGATTTGCCTGCAGTTCATCGAACGACGTTTTATCGACACCTTAGATGAGCCTTTTTCTGTAATAAACTGCACGAGACTGTCGTCAGGAAGCGGCGCGTAGGGGTCGGTCATGTGGGTTAACATTTTTTCTAATGGGCTGCCGCAGCGCAGACATGTCGCCGCGTTGTCGGAAGGGGGTGGTTTAACGCGCACCTTAGAGGTAGACACCTGACGAAATGTCCCTACAGCGTGCAATCGCGTAATGAGTGTCAATGAAACGTTCGTGTCAACGGAACGTGTGTTCATGAAAAGTACACGAAGCGTAATTACAAGAAACGAGTTTCGACGAAACGAGAAAGACCCGTTGGTCCGCTACCGTGTTGTCAAAGCTTCAGCCCCGACTCGCCAAACAAGCCGCACTGGCCGGAATGAAAAGTTGCAGTCAACCAATAAAACAAAGTTAAATCACACGGATGTTTCTAGATATGCAGAATTTCTAAGGTCCGTTTTTTCCCGTAATCCGCTCGAAATCTTATTGCTGGAGCCTAGAACGTGCCTCTTCAAGGAGAAGCTTGTTTTTCGCATTGCAAAAACAAAATACGCGATGCCGAACCCCGCTTCTACCGGAATGTAGCACCACCGGCTGGAACCGGATTAAAAATGTCCGAACTTGGCATTACCTCATTAAAAATCGAAAAATTCTACCATTTTAAAAATGTTCAATGAGGAACAAAGTGCGTTCCAAACAGCAGATGCCATTCTTCGTGTACTCGCGGGCTCCGTTGGCCGCCATTTTCTCGTTTAAAGTTTCTGAAAACCGCGGATAACTTTCGATCGATCAGGATGCTAAACTTTCGGGCAGTTACCGAAGATTTTATATTATATTCATATC